TATGCCATGTGAATAATCTAAATACCGAATATTTTATGTAAATTTGGCAACAGTGGCAAACACTTGTGGTCAGCGCCATCTGTTGAATGGGCAAATCGAAAAGTCGATTCTAATATGTATAACATTTCACATACTGTATGTACTAAAAGGAAATTGTTGTAATGTTAAACGTATAAATTTGCTGATCATAGTAAAGTAGACTATTTACGGTTTCGTATGACACCAGTTTCATTGAAATGCGATGAACTTTTCAAAAGGTATACGCTTTGAAAAACTGATGTGCCTGATTTGAATCATGTCCATCAATAGATGGTGCTGATGATGGATTTGTAAAAATTACACACCTCATTTCTTTTGTCCATAACTTTTTTCGTGGTGAAGATTTTAAAATAAAATTGATGTCTTATGAAAGGTACAGGCATACTTTTTTGTGAAATAAATAAAATCCCATAATTAGATGAATATAAAGATTAGGATTCAAAATTTCGTTCATAATATAAATTGTTTTAACATTATTATATATTCGTAACAATATAGAATGCATCAGTTTTCATATGACATTAATTTTGAAGAGAATATATATATATATATATATATGTATCTTGGCTTAAAAACTAATGCTTTTCCTGTTATCGTGGGAACTTCTTAGCAAAAAATATACGTGTGATTTTTATCTTTACGTGTTCAATGGTATAAAGAATCCCTGAAAACTAAAATTTTCTGTTAGCATGGCAAACAAACAATAATGTATACTCTAAGCTATTAATATACAATCAAATTTCGAATATTTCTGTATCGTTACGCATGCAAAAGTTATGAAGAATCTAAAATATGTGTGATTTTCTGTAAATTTGTCATCACTTGTAAATGTAATGTAAACCGCATTTGCTTCCAATCTTTTCGACATTCATAATTAATAGTGGAAAGGTGGTTGAGGCGAGAAGGCAAAACGTTTCATCATTCATTTAGCATATAGTCTATAGATATTAATTAAACATAATTTCATTTCTTTCTTTCAGATCGGAAAACTAGCAGTACAAATTATTTGGACTTTCATAACTAAGATCAATTATTTTGTTCAAATAAATTAAAATACAATATTTATATTATTTTTAAATTGAAAAATGTACAATTTCTTAAATTATAATAAACTATATAAATGTATAGTAAAAATAAATAAATGTATCAAACAATCTACTTTCATTTACTCATGGTCGCATAATAAGTTCAACCCCAGCGAATAAATTAAAGGAATTTAAAGGAATAATCGTATTTAAGCTGTATTTTATGGGCAAATAAATACTGCCTAAAATAATTCAGTTTCTAATAATTCTTTTAATAATAGTTTAAACTTATTTCTTACTACACAAATTTCATCGATCATTTATAATAGAGTTAGATTACCAGAATTTAAAGTCTTTTGACAAAGAGATTACAGCCAATCCGGGTAAAAAAAACAACCAAAATACTGCTACCTTTATAATAGAATATTGAAAATTTTTGGTGGGAATATTTGTAAAAAGTGAAAAAAATTACAGTAAATTCAGTTAAAAAACGCGCCAAAATACCGAAATTTGGAAGGTACCGTTAAATGGGGTCTATCGTGGACCAACATTTAGTAGAAACATGTGATACCCAATGAGAACCCTAAATACTAAAAAACGCACCGAAACTTCACAAAATACCGACATTTTGGGACGTATCATTATATGGAGTTTATCGTACAAAGTGCACCAATATTGATCTTTTTTGGTATGAACATGTGATACCCAATGAGAATCCTAAATACCAAATTACAGCCAATTTGTGACAAAAGTGAACCAATATTGACAATTATCGGTAGGAGAATGTGTTACCCAATGAAAACCCAAAATGTCATATTACAGCAAAAAACTCTCCAAAATACCGAAATTTAGCCTTACATTGTGGCTTTCGTAAAAGGTGAACCCATTTTCAATACCAAACATCCCAGGTGTAATTGCAATGCATGTGCAAAATTTCAAAAGTATTTAAAATATTGCGAGATCTATCGTGAATTCAACGGACGGACATGCATAAATCGGCATTTACATTTATACGTTATGGGGTTTCCGTTGAATATTTCCAGGTGTTGCAAACGGAATGACAAATTTAAAAATATACACTTCAACTTATGATGAAGATGTAAAAAGGACTCACAAATAGATGAACGAAATGTCGTATAGTAGTTTTTTTTCATAAAAAAATAGTTATTATCAACACTATAACCGATTTTTATTAATTTCTCACCTACTACACTAGATTCGTCCAATTAACTTGCAAAAATGCCATTTCATTCAACATTTTCAGTAGCCACATTTTTGGTCTTTTTGTGGCAAAACTAGCCTCTAATTCCGTACAATTAGGCAATATTATGATCTATACAGTCCCCTAATCCTTAGTACGTTGTTAAATTTCATATTTAACAAAAATTTCGATGATTTTTTGCACCTTTCAAAAGTTCCGATAAACATGTATTTTTTGATGTAAATCAGCATCAATTCTATTCATCTTTTTCACATATAAAAACTAAACAATTCACTCTACTCCATGTTGCAAAAATCATGAAAATCCATTAAGTAGTTTTCGAGATATATCCATTTAAAGTTGATCGTCTGCCAAAATTTAGCTGCTAGTCGATTCTGTTTGCCTGTTAGTTGAAAATGAAAAATCAGCAAAATCCAATCGGACAAAAATGCACATTAGTCTAGGGTTGCCATGTCATATGATTGTGGTTTCTACATTAAGAAAAATAGCTGAATAAAATTCAGAGCATATTTTAAGGCGTTTAGTTAAACACATTTTGGGGGGGATGTTGCCTTAATTAGAAATCAAATATGTCGGCAAATAATTAACCAATTTGAATGATTCAAAAGGTATTTTTTAAATAAAATGTCACTGTTTTCATATAAAACAGCCAGTACTTATAAGAACACAAAAGAAATGGTAAATTTTGTCTATTAGTTTATGCTAAATTTTTTGGTTATAGGATAAAATATATAGAAGACTTTTTTATATTTTTCTTATAGACATAAAATTGTTAATAAGTTATCTATCAATCTTTTTATAACTATATTTTTAAATTGTGGACTTATTACAGATATTCTCTAATGTGAAGACCACTACCCTTGGCTGGTCTTCCTCGGATGGATGTTTTTTCCATAACGATATGCCTTTTGTATTCCCCTCCCTTATATAAATAAAACACAATTGGTTATTTTTTCTAAATTTTTATTAATTTTTTTGTATGATTTTTCACAAAGATTTTTGTTTGTTTTTTATATATTGATGGTTTACATTTTACATAATTTATATAAGCTTTATATCATTTCATTATTTAATGTTTGTTTCTTTAAATATATAAAGTGTAATTATTTATATATAGATAGAATTGTTGTTGTGTGGTTTATTTTTAAATTATACAATTGTGTTTTTTGTTTGTTTAATTAAATTTTAAAATTATTACATTATGATTTTGAAAGAAATGTGATTTTTTTTTTGTAGTTTTTTGAAGACAAATTATAAAAACCTAAACTTAAACGAATAATGCGCCGTTAAAATAATTATATAAGATAGTGTATTTTCATAAAATACACAAAAGAAAAATAAAATAAAAAAATTGTTACTGGTATTTTTTTCAAAAAAATGAATTGCAATAATTTAGTTATGGAAATCCAAAACAAAACAAAAAAAATTTTGTAATTTTTGAAAGAAAATATAAAAAAAGAACTTAAATGTTTGTTTATTGAATTGATGTAAAAATTATATATTATAATTAAATATGATTGTGTTTTTTAATTATTGTTGGTGATAGATTTTTTTAAAACTACGTGTGAATTATTATTTTTCGATTTATAAAAGTTGTATGCTGTTGTTGTTTTTTTATTTTTATTTATTAATGTGTACGTGTGGTGTGAGAGCACTTGATTTGTGAAACATATTTAGCCTGTTTCCTTTAAAAATATTTTTTGTTGTTATAATAAAGCATGCCATGTAGAATAGAATTCTTATATAATGTAGGAAAAAAGCTTACAATGACAAATTAAGGAAATTGCAAATTTGCTGAACATTTATATATATAAGAGAGAAATTTTTGTAGCAAATGTCTTTTTTCTTCTTCTTCTCACTTTCGAGTTGTTGTTGTTGTTTTTCTCGCTCTTATTAAATCTTGCTCTATTTATTTTAAAATACATATCCAATTTCAGTTTTTCAATTTAACACTAACTTTACAAATGGAAAACAAATTATGGCAACACCATTTAAATAATGAAATATATTTTTAAAGATTTTTTAAATTTATCCCATATTTGTTTTAATATTACATTTATTTTGAACGAATTACATTTCTCAGCTTCATGTGTAGCTTTTTTTTTATATGTATGTTTCTTGAGTGAAACATACAAAAAAAGAACCACCACACAATATTTATTTTTGGAGCCAAGAAAAATATTTACATTTCCTTCAAAACAAGTGAATATATTTTCCTCAAATTCTGGGATCATATTATTTCATTTTCTCACACAACAATTTATTAATGAAGAGTAGGAGGAGAATGTGTGGGAGAAATATTTGGCAGCATAACACCAAGTATATTATTTAATTTTCAAAACATTTTCAACAATATATAGGGAGTACTATATGTTTCATTGCCATATAAAATGATTTTTTTCATAGTACATTTATTTTTTAAATTTGAATACAATAATTTGAAAAATATGAAAACATTTTTTAAATTAAAATGAAATGACAAAAAATTGCAACAATTGTAAATGATAAAAAATATAGAAATTGAAAATCTAATAAAAAAAATAAATACATACAAACAAATATATGTAATGAGTGTTTTTTTTTGTTTTGCTTTTTTGCACGTATATATTATTTTTTAGAAAATACATAATAAAATATGTAAACAAATACAAATTGTTGTTATATGTGATTCTGAGTGCTAATGCGCCAACCGCCAGCCATCATTCTCTATTGACAAAAGCCAATTGTATAATTTCTGCCAAAGTGTCCCATGCGTCGCTGACGTCCAACTAAACAAGAGAAAATAAAATAAATTAGTAAAGATTTAATATCATATATAAAAAATAATTTGGTAAATATGTGAGAGAGAAACAAAGGAAATTAATTATTTATTATTACCACAATTCTATAACTAACATAAGGTATAAGGAGAACCCAATTATAAATATAAAAAATGTATTCACTAATAAGGAACAAATTCGCTAAATCTATGTGAATAAATATTAAAGAGTAAAAAACAAATAATTTTTATTAACATTTGAAAGGTTGAAAAGCACACAAATCTTTATAATTAAAGGAATATTTATTAAAGCCCTTTCTTATGTATATTGAAATAAGAATATATTTTTAGGGTTCTATTTATTTAATTAATATGTCTATGTCTATATGGAAATGTATGTTTTGTTGTGGGGGCACATTAGAAAAATATTTTATTGATTAAGAATCCTCACATTGGAATGAGGAATATTTTATAAACATTGACTTTTTGCACTTTTTTCTGAATTATTATTTAACCACACAAATTTTTATTATCAAGGGAATATTCATTTTAACCTTCCTATATAGAATATTGAAATAAGAATATATTTAGGGTATATTTTGTAATAAAAAATCCTATACCTATATGGAAATATATGTTTTGTTGTACGGGCACATTAGGAAAATATTATTTTGATTAAGAATCCTCACATTAAAATGAGCAAAATTTTATAAACATTTACTTTTTCTCCACTTTTTCCTAATTAAGAAATTCTTTAGATGTGATATCGAACTTCCCTTAAATCGAATTTCATATATTCTAAATTTCCAAAGAAAATAAGGCATTTCATCACTTTTTATACAAATTAATGTAAAGTTGAATATACCGAAACAAGTAAGGGGTCATTATAATCGCCTGGAAAATAACTAATTTTCAAAATAAAAAATGTAATGCGTAAATGCAGTCAATGACTAAGAAAAAAATTGTTGATTTTTGTTTTTGTGATTCAACAACCACTATTATGTTAGCACTAACAATTGTGTTGACCTTTTTGACCTCACACGAGCAAAACACATGGATAGCTCATAAAAAACTGATACTCGTGACAAACACAAAACTAAAGGAAAACTTTTATAACGGTCAATAACACGCACATAAAGTGTGACAAACAACAAACAAGTAACAGATAACAAATATTACATATACTTGTACGGTTGGTTTCAGGGTGAGTTACCCCTATTGTAATAGGTGCAATAAACCTCATATATACTTATAAAAATAATGTTGTTTACAATTTCACTTGAAAGCTATTAAAATTACATGTAGTCGCTGGTGTATGTATGCAATGAACTTTATGTATTAAGTTTATAATATTATTTGTTCCATATCCAATGAAATGGAGTAAAGAACATCCAATTGTACCTCGAAACTTTAAAAATATCTGATTGACCTACTGTTTCTTTTTTTATTAAAATCGACAAGACTGCGATAGTCGTGATAAGAATGACACTAACATTATTCAGATTTTCTCTCATTATCTTTTCTATTGTACACACAAATTAGAAATTATATTAGGTTTGGAAAAAATAAATCTATTATGAAATCAGAGAAATGATCGACGTTGATCGGCATGTTAGCAGTTGTAACATCGCCAGGAGGTAAAAATGACCATAAAACTGTTTTAAACCGTTTACACGAAGCTGAATTCAAAAAGAAGCTCGATGTTTACGTGCCACACCAATTAACAGAAAAAAGGATGGATCGGATTTCCATCTGCAAAGTCTTTACCAAACGGAATGAGATAGACCCATTTCTTAAACGGATGTTGACTGGAGATGAGAAACTTGGTGACAAACGATAACCCTGTGCGAAAACGCTCGGTCACAGCTCTTTGATCACGATCGATTCCGGTAGCAAGTCAAACGGTGACCATACCAGGACTAACGGCCAGGGAGGTTCTGCTATGCATTTTGTGGGACTGGGAAGGTATTATTTATTATGAATTGCTTCCATATGGCCAAACGCTAAATTCTGATGTCTACTGTCAACAACTGGACCATTGGAAGATAGCAATAGACCAGAAACGGCCTGAAATTGCCAACAGGAGATGTGTCGTGTTCCACCAGGAGAACGCTAGGCCACACGCATCTACAGTGACTCGCCAGAGACTTCGGGAGCTTGGGTGAGAAGTTTTAATGCATTCGCCATACAGTCTAGACTTGGCACCAAACAATTATCATACTATCATAATTGCAGTGCACAATTTTTTTAATGATAAAAAATTAGCAATTTGGCCGAAGCATTTTAAATAAAGTCCTATATTCATATAAAAATAATGGATTTCTTTTCCCAGCCTAATATTACTAGTCTGTTTAATTTTTCTAACGCCTAGCAAACCAGTATATACAGTTACACTATGAGTAAGAGATTTTTTTTTCAATAATTGGAGAAGAGGGTTTATGAATTAAATATCAAATATTTGATTTACATAAATTACGATTATACCAAAAAAAAAAAAAAAAAATAAATAAATAAAAAAATAAATAAATAAATGTAATAGGGTGGATCGCTGATTACAAATGTGAAATCAGATTTTTAACTAAGATGAATCCACAATGGTGGATGGATCAAACATAATAAATTAAACATTTCTTTTCTTAACCGGTTTATTTGTATTTGATATAAAGCTATGGCATAATTTAATTTTGAAATATAGCCGATTTGGTTAAAAAGAGTGATCAAAATCCCGAAATACTGAATAATGGGGGTCCGTCAATAAAGGATGTACCCCGAAACTTAGGTCAATATTTATATTTTTGGTGCCAATGAGAATTTAAAATACAAAATTACATGTAAATTGGTTCAAAATCCCAAAATCCCAAAAAAAAAAAAAAATAAAATAAAATTAGGGGGTACCGTTATAGTAGGGCCACCTCAAATAGGGGACCAAAATTAATAATTTTTGGTGAGAATATGTGCTACACAATGCGAACTCAAAATACCAAAGATTTGAAATATATAATATTTTATCCTCTCTTCTTGATATGGACTTTTTGCAAAAAATTGGATTCCTGGCTCATAGTGAGTTGGAAACGTTCCATCAGGTGTTACCATTTGTCAAAATCGTTCTTAATCTTATTAATACACATTTTGTTGATAAGATATATGAGGCTTAACAGTAAGACAAGAACAAACATCGGACAGAAACACCTTTAAGGTGCTCTTAAGAATTTTATTGCAATCACTACAAATTAAAAAGGTGCATAATGTACATGAAAAAATATATTTGGAAACTGTATTCAGATTTGCACTGACTTTCAGAAAATTCCAATAGGTTTAGTCTTGGGCCAAATATAAATCAGCTTTGTCAAAATTCATATTTTCGCTTGAAAGTAAGTAAAAGTAATATTCATTCGGATATGTGTCTAACCCTCTAAGAATTGCAAAAGTAATATTCATTTGGATATTTGTATAACCCTCTAAGAACTGCAAAAGTTAAATTACAGATATTTTGATTTGGAAATTGGACTTAAACATTTAAAATATAGAATATTGCGGTATACCTAAATGTGGGAGATATTCCATAAATGTGGGAGATATGCCTAATCGTGGACCTATATAAATAGCTCATCTCCGAAGATGGACTGAAGAGATTTTTTAAACAAATGGACGCATATAGCAAAATGATCTTTGAATACATCGAGCACAAAGCTTTTTTAATATGTATAATATGTTTTGGATTTTAAAGAATATTTTTGGAAGGACTATTAGGTTGGATTAATATTTCTTTTAATTTTTAAGTCACTAAATAATTACATTTTGAAGGATCATTAGGGCTCAAAGTGTGGATTTTTAATGAATCATTTATGGAAGTGTTATTAGATTCCTAAGTGCGGAATTTAAAAAAAAAATCACTTATTGAAGTGGTATTACATTCCTAATATGTTGAAGGACTTTTAAAACCCAATACCTTATGTAGTTGGTCTATATAATAGAATATCGTATATAGCAGATCGATTGATAAAATACCTTCCTCATGTATTCTATAGATTCTCAGTTTGAATATACTAACAAATTTTTAAAGATTTTAAAACTTTTAAACAATTTCTAAATTACAATAACAATACAATAATATTAATAATACATTAATATGTCTTATAACTAAAAAATTATATGTTAAATGTGTATATACCTACAGATTTTACAAAAATCGTTTTGAGGGGACTTTTCTTGGGATGTTCACAATTATTCTTGGGCTCACAATTATTGTTGAAGATGGGAGGTGGTTATGGTGTATACTATTTTCCCAAACAAATCCGTAGACATTGTGTATGTTGTTGTTAGATGTTGTCGGTAAGTTTTTCCATATTATGTTGTAGTTATTGTAATTGGATTGATTTCAAAAACACATAGGCAGGCAATTAATAAGGAGGATAAACACTTTTACAATTACGTTAGGTAGTGGTAGTAGATGGTTCAAAACAACAAACATTTGGATTCTTTTTTGTAGGTGATGATTGGTAGAGCGTATGTTTTTGCTGGTATTCTTTTTTTAATTTTTTGTAGTTGTTTTGGATGCTTTCTTTCATTTGTTGTTGTATTGTATATTTTCTAGAACGTTTTTGCTGTTGATGATGTTTATTTACGTTGATTCAGGCGTTGCACACGTACTGAAAGTAAGACATGAAAAAAAGACACAGGAGGAAGACAAAAAATACAAATATATATTAGTTAAAATTGATACAATAAATAAGATTCAATATTTTTAGTTTTTTTTTAGTACAAGAAATAACAATAACAAACAAAATATAACAAGAACAGAATTCAGTTTCAATTTTTGGCAATAGGGTTATGCAATTAGCAGGAAAAACAAAGGGGGAAATAACAACATTCAAAATTGTTTGGGATTTCTTCAACAGAAACCCGTTTGGGGTTTCATATTGTTTGGGTTAGACAGAGATCAGAGAAGCGTTTTGTTTAAACGGTTCAATAAGAGATAGAGCATACACATTCATTTCAAATAGTAATTTCTTGACATGATTCTAAATTTCGCAAATTCTCAGTTGTATTGTATTTATTGGCTGAAACAAAAATATTGTAAAGCGGAGTTACGACGTAGTAGTTGCATAGCAGATTTTTATTATATTTATATATTTTTTTAACTTTTTTCAGGTATCATGTTGCGGCTGAAGAATAAGCACACTCTTAAAATAATTTAAATGCTGGAAATTTATCATCGTAATTTAGTTCTTTGTTAATAAAATTTCTGATCGAAGTTTGACTCAAAAATATATATAATCTCGTTTATTTAAGCGTTTTTAGTAGAGCTTGCTTTCATTTCTCGTCGGGCATTTTTAACACAACATATGCAAAAACACTTTACATTTATTACCCAAGATAAAACAAATTTACAAACTTTTTCACATTATACTGGGGTTTTCGTTGTTTCGATTTTGAGTTTTGTTTTTCAATCCACATATTTTCTATAACGATGATATATGATGTCTATTTGATTTGAATTATTTTGTATTAAGGAAACTATGTTAAGTTGATATTTATATATCAGGACGACTATGCGACTAAAATTAGGTGTAAGAGTGTTTCCAATTTTCTTGTGTTTTTATTTTTTCTAATATAAATTTACTTAGAAATGTAAATCGCAGTTTAGTTTCTACAATGAAAAATATATAAAGAATTAAAAATTAATAAAAGTTTGACGTTTAGGAGGAGAGGAGAAGGGGTGTGTTGTTCTGTGTTTATGTTTGGAAATGTGTTTTCAATATGTGTGTTGGAAATACATTATTATTTTTTTAAATAATCATGGTAGTTAATAATTAACTCTTAAGTAGAGGTAGTGAGAAAAAATTTACTAACAAAGCCATCAAAAAATTTAATTATTATAGGCCTTGCTTTAGAATCCTAATTGTGGAATCTAAAAAAATCATTTTGAAGGACTTTTTAAAGCCAATACCTTATGTAGTTGGTTTATATACGATTTATAGCAGATCGAATTATAAAATACCTTCCTCATGTATTCTATAGATACTCAGTTTGAATATACTAATATTTTTGTAAATATTTTAAAACTTTTACACAATTTCTAAATTACAAACAATAAATAATATATTATTTATTTATACACCTACAGATTTTACAAAAATCGTTTTGAGGGGACTTTTCTTGGGATTTTCGATAAATAAAATAAATTTCGAGGTGCTGAATAGATCTGATCAGTCGATGAAAATATAATAGAAATTATATTAAGGAAAAATTTTTTGAGGGAAAAATAACCATAAATAATTATAGATAAGGGATCAGTTTATCAAAAAAAAAAAAAATGAGATTTGAATAATCTAAATTCGTATATTTACTTTTTTTTCTTCTAAAAAATTAGTATGAATTTCTATAAGTCATTGATTGACAGATATTATATGATATTCTCATTCTTCTTAGATAAAATAGCATCAATCTTCTACTAAGGAAATAAGTCTGGATACATTTTTCATATTATATATAGGCATAAAATGCTCCTCTTTTATAAAAGACTATATGCTTTCGATAAACAGAAGATATTTCTCAGGCTTTCAATAGACTGAAGTCCTTTGCAAGGTCTTCTTCAATAGATAAAATACCTTCTATAAGTAGAATATTTTCTTAAGGTCAACCATTGCCACGAAAACGTTTATAGGTTTTTAATAAATTTAATTAGAAGACGTTTTATTAGTTTTTTATAAATTGAAATAAGCCTCCTAGCTTTCTCGAACACTTCTGTAGATAATAAATCTTCCGAAGGTATTATTGTATTGATATAAAGCTTTCTAAACTTCTTATATAAAAATCAGCCCTTCTTCATGCCTTCTATAGATTGAAGATGAGGTTCTCAAATAATAATTCTTTAAGAACTATTAGAGTCACAAGCTTGAATTTTTAAAGAATCAGTTTTTGAAGGGCTATTGACATAAGCATGGTCATTTTAAGAATCATTTATTGAGGGAATATTGGACTCCTAAGCGTGGATTTTTGAAGATTAATTTATTGGAGCACTATTTAACATTTATGATTGGATTTTTAAAGAGTAATTTTTTTGTGGGTTATTAGAAACCCAAGCAGGTATTTTTAAAGAATCATTTATTGATGGGCTACTCCACTCCTAAGAGTGTATTTTTAAGGAGTAATTTATTGATGGAATATTAGACTCCTAAGCAGGGATTTTTAAGGACCAACTTATTGATGGACTATTAGTGTGGATTTTTAAAGAGTAATTTACTGATGGGCTATCAGACTTCAAATATCCACGCTTATATTTGAAAAATTATTTAGTAATGTATTGAAGGCTTTCTAAACGTCTTTTATAAAAATGACGAGTCCTTCTTTATGTCTTCTTTAGATTGGAGATCACGGTCTACAATAATAATTTTTAAGTTATATAAGAGTCACAAGCTTGGATTTAAGAAAAAAATAGTTTTTTAAAAATCTATTAGACTCTTGAGCTTGGGATTCACAGAATATTTTTTGAAGTCATTAGAACCCTAAGGGAGAATTTTTAAAGAAACATTTTTTGAAGAGCTATTAGAGCTCTAATCGTGGTGTTTAATGAATCGTGTTTTGAAGAACTATTCGAACAATTTTTGAAGAACCATTAGAACCGTAAGTGTGAAATTTTTAAGAAACATTTTTCGTAGTGCTAAGTGTAACTCGCGTAGATTTCTAAGGAATCATTTTCAAAGGACTATTAGTGCCGTTGCGGCATAGACGAATGTATAGAATGAATAGAATCATGAAGAGCTTTTATAGCCACAAGTTTAAATTTGAATATAATTACTTTTGAAAGGACCAAATTTTTAAGGAATTTTTTATAATTATTTTTGAAAGACTATAAAAGGTTCAAATCAAATTTTTAAGGAATAATTTTTCTGAAAGTGATTTTGTTTGGCTCACATGTTTGAATTTTTAAAGAATAATTTTTGAAAGACTATTAAAGACTCAAACATGGATCTATATCCAAATTTAAGAATTATTCTTTAAGTGATTTAGATTGTTTTTTCTTAAAATAGTTCCCTATTTTAATTTTACCATGATTATTTAAAACGTTTTTGAGTGTATATATGTATAAAAAGGAAGATTGTATAAAAAAGTAGCTTGGAATAGCAAGTGTGCGGGCTGAGGACATTAAAATAATGACGACAAGCTAACTTAATGCATTAACAATAGATGAAATAAATAACAACAATTATAACAATAATTGAATGCAAAAATAAATAAATAAAAATTGAAATAATAATGACAACACAATAAATAACATACATGCAAATTTGGAAAAAAAATAAATTAAACAAAAAATAATAATAATAACTTTAAAAAATCCTTTTAAATTTTATAAAATAACTACTATTTCGAGTTCATTGGCACAATATTAACATTAACGTTTGAAAGCTTTGTTCAAGAGTGTGTAAAATTATGGCTGCCGGGCTGCCATTATAAAATTTAGTTGATTTTGTTTAGAAAGTGAGAAAATAAGATAGAGAGCGTAACATCAATACAATGCAAAATTAGGCAGACTATATTTTTTTTTAGTTTGTCTTAGCTTTGTATAGCTACCTTTTTGTGTTGTTTAGGATACTTTTATAAACCAAAAAATCTTATCATTAATATCCATTGTATGAAAGTTCCCCCTTTAATATTGAGTTCCTTTTTTATATAGTAATTGAATAAATCTATGCTTCAAGAATTCAATTTGTTTTCCGAGGGAGATGTTGTTGGATTAGAAGTAATATGTCGAAGTCGTTGTAGTTATTAATTCGTTACAGCTTTCCTTTTATAATTATATATTTGTTTTCTTAAGTCTTCTAATGTTTTCTTATGTGACTTTTTTGTATTTTTTTTTTATTTACTCCTTGGGTATATATATTTAGTTTAAGAAATAATTATACGACGAGTAGTAAATAATGATGAGATACGTAGGTTTATGATTTTCTGTTTTTTTTTTTTTTTAATTTTTTTTCTTTCGGTTTTTAATTTTTGATTTCTTAAAATGTAAAGAAGATTTGTTTTCTTCCATTTCATTGATTGTTTTTGTATTAGTGTAGTTTTATATGAGTTATTATTTGGTTTTATGTTTATATAAAATTAAAGTTAGAAAATAAAGCATTGATATATGTTGTTGGTTACGTTGTGTGTGTGTTGTTTTCTTGATATTTATAAATTATTAAAAAAACTCCAGGGCGTTACTTGTCTCTTCATTTGTTTCTCATTTTCTCTAAGGACCATAAAGGTATCCTTAGGATCTTTAACATCTTTACATTTTAACCTTAACGGGTTGTCATTTACATGTTAATGAGATTTTACTGCTCGTTTTTTTTCTAATATTTTGGGAGTTTTTTTTTAATTTTTATGACGTTATAGTATTTATGATTTTTTTTCTTTAAATTTTATTATTTAGTTTAAATGTTTTATATATATTCTTTATATAGTTTTCATATTTTTGTTTATTTAGTTTTTCTTCTTCTTTACTGAACTCTTGTTGGATTTCTGTGAAGATTATTGAAAAATCTGAACTGCAGACGTAAATCAAGATCTTTTCTTACTGTAATCGGGGAGAGAGAAATAAAAAATAAAAGAAATAATAAAAATAAACATAAATTAAAAACACATTGAATTACATAAAATAAATAAATATACAAATTAGAATGGTAAGAGAACATATTTTGTTTGAATATACTTGTTTCAAATGAAAAAGGAATAGGAGGATACGAATACAATAAAACAAAAAAGAAAATAAAGAGTCACAACATTTAGAATCAGAGTTTGGGTACAATAAAAACATCGAGGAAGTGATCAGAGTTGTTTGCTCTAGTTTCTAAGCCAACCAGAGGTGCTATCACAGAAAGAAAGGTAGTATTGAAAACAAAATCATAGGCCTGGACAAAAATCAGGTATATTTTTGAGATGATCGGATGATGTTATGACATTTGATGAGGAGAAAAGTAAGTAAGCATTTGTGTCCTGGGTGGTATTAAATATCAAGATTTTTAAATAATCCAAGACTCTTAAACCTACTTTTATCCATGTGATTCGAAATGGAGGAACTATGATAGACGACAACCGAATGTTGTGAACTTCAAATGGGACATTCATTGGCTGATTGTTCATGATCAAGCCTTTAACAAATTTTCAAATTTATGAAACCATTTGAAATCGAAGTGAAAACACTGTGACAGGCAAGGGGGGAAATAAACAAAATAACAAGTCCATTGAACTTAAGATCGAACAACATGAAAGTAAGGAGAAGACATAATTAGAAAAAGTTATTTACATTCAAATACATAATGAGAAAATATACAAAAAAAAATGAAAGATGACGATGAGCAGATTGATGGACGACTAAACAAAAAAAAAAAAAAAGAGATGAAAGCATACACGATGAAGAGTGAAATATAATGTTAACAATTCCATAAAAAATAATATACAAACAAATATTTAAAGAGGAATTTTTATGTACAACAATATATAAATTTGGTCGGCAACGTTATGGAGGATTTGAAAATAGAGAACAATAAATTAAGGGCACATTGAAAAAGAAACATCAATAAATATAATCAACATAGAAGCAAAGTCTTTGAAGTTCGAGTTGAAGCATTTTTTTACAGTATTGAAATGTAGGTTTGGTTCTGCTGTTCCCAAACCCCTTTTGATGATTTGAGCTTTCAGGCTGGCTGTAGTGTATGTGGCGTTTGGAAGGTTTCATTTTTTTGTGTGGTGGTGACAATGTCTGTGGAGTGTTACGCAGTTTTTTCTGTACACAGCTTGATTTTTTTCTTGCTGGAGGATTGTGTGTATTGTGGTTGGGAAGTTTTGGTTTTATGATTGTGTCCTTTTTTACAGACTAACTCACGTATGGGATTTATAGCTGGTAAGATCTTCATTATAAGCTGGCATATCAGCGGCAGCAGCAGCAGCTATGGCAGACATCGATGACATGGACGACGAAGCCGAAGACACCCGCCGTGATCCTTCGTTCGAGGAGACCACAAAATCAAAATCAAATACACTATTACCGCCGCCACCACGTATAACCATATTATCGGGATCGACCTCTACCTCATAGTCGGCACGAGGTTGAGGTGATGGAGAGGGTGAAGGTGATGGTGTTATGGGACTGCCACGAATCACCATATTATCAGGATCCACCTCGACCTCATATTCGACGCGAGGTATTGGTGAGGGTGAAGGCGATAGCTCCATTGCGGGTGGAGCAATATACTCCATGCCCTGATTGGCCGGTGGCAATAAAAGTTTGGGCAAATTTGGCTTTAGTTTTTGTACACGAACAACTGATAACAATATTACACGATGACATTTTGATTGATAGGAGGAATTTTTGAGTAGCAGTACAGGAATTATTTTCAATTTCGATGCAATTTTGATTTTTGGTTAATTTACACGTGTATTTATTTTTTAGAGAGAATTTATGTTGATTTCGAATTTTTGATTTCAAAAATAATAACAGATTAAAAAAAATTAATAAAAAAAAATGAAATTAATTAGAATAAAAAAATTAAACAACAACATATTACAAATAGAGAAAAAATATTACAGGAGTATGTATATTAAACAAAAGAAAAATATTACACAAAGGATATATAGAAAGGACAAATAGTAAATCAAGGAAAAGGAAATAAGGGTGTATGACCAAAGTTAAACAAATTAAAAAAAGGGAAGATAAGGTTGGATTTCTTTTATAGACAAAGAAAGAAAGAAAAAACGAAACTACAAATCTACATGTTATGTATGTGATAAAAAACGAAAATGGAACGACACGATTTGATTTGAATGGGTACAAAAAATACACAAAATTAAATGGGTCGAGGTATGGAGACCATATGGAACAACAACAATAACACAGGTGAGGATATAGGTTTTGTTTTTTCTAATTCTAGAAAAGTCCCCTATAATGTATTTAAAAATATATATCTTCTATGATTGTTTTTATTTAAAACATTTCAAACACAATTAACAAAAAGCACTAAACGCATTGTAAATAACAATAACCACAACAAATATTTGGGTAAATTCATCTAGGTGAAAGATAAAGACATATAAACCAATTGTACGCATCATTACGGAGTGATTGGTTGTTGTTTGGTTATCAGACGCAGTCACAAACATATTGATCGGTATCGGTTGTTTGGCTTTTCTGGTGGAAATTAGAACGTTGTTAAATATTCCATTTAAGGTTGGGTGGTTCTTATAATTTAAGGTACGTTTCATATTACCTGTATTTGATAATTATTATATATCATCATCACCGATGCAATTTTGTAAATTGTTTTTAAATAAAGATGTTTGAGGATGTGGAGACGACAGACAACAGATGCTTAAAGGAAATTTAAAATGTTTTTTTTTCAAAACCTTCATTTTCGCTAAAAAAAATGTTATATGCGATAGTTTTCATAAGAATACTAACCACTGGCCAAACAGACATTTCAGTTTTGAGAAAATATATACACAATTAAACAAAGTAAACCAAAACTGAAGCCTTCATTGAAAGGCAAAAAAAAAAAAAAAATGTGGATTGATGTGCCAATAATTTAGAGAACAATTTTTTTGCATATAAGTAAACAAAATATCAACTAGACATCGGAAGGAACAGATTTTATATTCAATAACGTATTTTAATATCCACGTATTTTATTTATTCATCTAATGAATATAATATATTAAAGCACAATAAAACTATTTTCAAGGTTTATAATTCTCTCCTAGGTATTATGTAAAAAAGAACATCCTTAAACTGGAAGTAGAAATATTTTTTAACGGTATTTCCAAAAGAAGCACGAATGTTTTATAACCTACACCATGTGGGGTGCATTCAAAATTCCATAAGTCAGTCGGGACCTTTATACGGAGACTATCTTATGGTGTTATGTGATTGTAGGTTGTTCCTGCTCCGAAAAAATGGTGTTCCAAATTACACGCATCCTATTTGGAAAACCTCAACCGAACTTTTTTTAAATCCGATATGTCAAATTACATTAATAATAACGAAAAAGAAGCGGATCTCTTATTTGGGCATATAGCAAAACGTGGTTTGAAAAATGCGACTAAATTTTTCACAATACCGAAATAGTATGGGCCATTCTATACCAAACCGTAAAGTAACATTGATAATTTTTGGTTGGAAGATTTAATACCACATACGAATTTGATAATCAAATAAGGGTTGAAACACATGACCAAATTCGCCAAAATACCGAATAATGGGTTATTGGGGCTACCAGGAAACTTGGGGGACGACAAACTTGATCATTTCTGATAAGGAGATTTTCTCCTCAATGAGAATCCAAAATATAAAATGACAGCTAATTTGGTTGAAACACGTGTCCAAGCTCCCCAAAATACCGAAATTTGGGATATAGCGTTATATGGAGGATTCCCTAAAAAGTGAACCAATATTGATCACACGGAAACATTGGCCAATGTTGATAATTTTTGGTTATAGGGTAAGTGGATCAATATTTATCATTTCCGGTATCAAGGTTTGATAAGAAATGATAAGCAAATGTAGGAAATTACAGCCAATTCGGTTAAAAAATTGTAGAAAATTCCCATAATACCGAACATCGTAGTAATAACAATTACAGTGCAATATTTCGAAGCTCTATCCCATATATTGCGATTTCTATCGTGATTTTAACAGAAAGACGGACATGTATAAATTATATATATGAGATATATTCTGACCGGCTGATCTTTGTTCAACTACGAAGCATGATATTAATCTTGATTCATCTTCGAGTGGAAATCCAATATAGCTGTCAAATCAAAAATTTCTTCTTGTGAAGCATCTTTTAATGTCCCCTCTTCACTCTATTCTTCATTGCGATCTATATCGTGATTTCAACACACAGACGGACACGCATACATAGACATAGAATTTTATTCAGATCAAGAATATATATATTTTATATACAGGAGATCCCGGTGAATATTTCGATGTGTTTCAAACGGAATGACAATTTTAATGTACACTCCACCTTATGGTGTAGGGTATAAATTATACGTTTTCTAATCGAATTTTGTTTAGTGGGTAGGCCCATTTCTGGCCTAATGGATGTGTATGTAAACGAAATTGCCGCCATTCTGACAAAGGTTGTAAGGTGGAATTATCGGTCCATATTGTCATCCGTGATCGTACCATGATTACTGACTATTTGAGACTAAAATAGAAGCTCGTGATGTTAAGGACATTTGGGACAATCAATGGCTTTATTTAGAAAATACTTTGGTGAACAGATAACTTCAGGTTTTGGACCTACTTCTTATGAAAATTACGACAGCGTTTGATAAAATAGTTTACTGTGATTTACGACTAAAAACTAAACATGCGGACAACGTTCACAGAAATAACTCTATAAGGGTGTTCGGAGTATAAAAAATACTACGCAATTGATTTCCAATACACTTTAAAACTTCGGAGCTACTCATAAGCAAAAAAAAGTGAATTATGAACAATTTTTCATAACAATTGAAATTGGGGCTATGTGAACATGAATAAATATTACATTAACAACATAAGGTAGAAAATATATTCATATAAGAATTCCAATAAAGTAGGATACTAAAAAGAAAAACCGAAAATCTTTCGAGTGCGAAAAAAAACATTTTAAATTTCCTTTTCATCTAAATCCTCGGTACTTTTGGTCATGGCTATAGCTTCGCTAACACTGCGTGGATTAGAACATAATAGTAATGTTTCATCTGTGCTGTTGTTGCTGTCGTTGGTATTGTCATCAGCAGCATTGGAAGGCGACTTGTGCATATGATTAATAATATTCATATTGTTCGAATTGTTGTTGTTGCTGTTCCTGCTGCTTGCATGATATTCCAATGATAAATCATTGAAATTGGTGATGTTACTGTTGTTACTCATTTTAGTCACATCAGTTATTGTTGTTGTTGCAACATTAGCATTATTCTCCGTATATTTCTGATTAACATATGCACGTGATGATGATGGTGATGCTAATGTTGCTGATGATTGTGACAATGATGTATTATTATCAGCCGCAGCAGCAGCAGAATTGATAGATGAATCAACAGTTGTAACATTTTTATTTAGTGACGACAATGGAGCGGCAGCATTAGCAGCGATATTGACTACCACTGGATTTGAAGAAATCTTGCCAGAATTTACATTGTTCACATTGTCGACTAATGAAATCGATGTTGTCGATGATGGTAATATTATGCCTGATGATGATTTATTATTTTCCAATACATTGCTTTTATCTGGCAACAACGACGATGATGATGTAGCTGATGACAACAATAACAATGATGGTGGCATTGGTAATGGCGGTGGTGGTGATGCTGCTGCTTTGAATGGTGATATGCGTGATGAAACTAAACTATTGTCATCATTTTCACCTTCACCTGTTATGGGGTGTTGATTTTTTTAGCGAAGTTGTTGTTGTTTTTTGTTTATAAAAAATATAAACAAAAATAATAAGAATTTGTTGCAACAAAACTAACAAAATTTGGGGTTGGTTGTTGGGATTCTTAAAATTTAAACCTAAACCTTATGTTTACGATATGAAATATTTAAAAATGAAGTGGAATAGTGGGGGCCTCCAAAGAAAAGAATGAGAAAACTGACCAAAGTTATCAGCTGTAAATTCAATAACTCCATTTGAGAGAAAGAGAAAGTAAACCAACGTTGCCTTAAATAATTGTTCAGCTGCTTCATATTGTTGTAAAGTTCTTTTTGGAGGTATTTGTAAGCTGTCGGAGGGACAACTTTCTCCGTATTTATCTAGTTTACGATACTTACTTCTGTCAATGTTACGTTGCAAATGTGCAGCAACTCTATGACGGGCATCATTAAATTCAAGATGTAGACCCAATCTAAGCAGTGATGTGTTCTTCTCCACTAAATCGGTAATTTCCATTTCAATCTTATTACCCAAAACTTGTGATCGCTGGAAGAAGGGTGGGGCGAAATAAAAACTTATTAATTACCGTACTCTAAAAGATTAAAAAGACAACACAAGAGTCTAAGAAGAAAAGAGGCAAACAATACAATTGATCATACAAAAAGTTAAGATATAATAAAATTTGTCTGGACATATAGAAAGTTCCAATGAAAAAACAAAGCCAGACGCATTTTCACCTGATCCAGCGGAATTGATATTTGCCTACTGGCTTACAAAGTTCCATTTTAATCATTTGTATTTATGTATATCGAATTGAAATTCTATTTCCATTTCTTTTTAGACCCTGTGCTTCGATTACTATGGATATTATTCAAAACATACCTGATTGGAGGCTCTGAATTCCTCAATGGTGCGACACTTAAGTAGGGCTTGCACTAATTTAACTATGACAGGCGGACTAATGAAATTTGTTTCGACATTTAATACTCTCAAGGTTTTGCTCTTCTCAATGGCCTCGGCCAGCAATAAAGCCAACTTATCGGTTAAACCGACATTTGTTAAGGACAGTACTTCCAAGTGTTCATTGCCAGGCAGTGCATTTATCAATTGTTCCAATTTTTCCTCGGAAATATTCTAAAAAAACCAAATCAATGAAATGAAATATCAACAATAATAATAATTCCCTCTTACCTTGATATTATTCAAATTCAAATCAATCAATTTCTCATCGTCCTCCTTGACACGACGAATGGACTCCTCGACATCTGTATCGTTTGGTGGATCCATGGGATAGACTTTTTGTTGTGTCGATTTGGTAATACCATCCCAACCCATACCGACGGGCTGACCTTTGTTCAACAACGAAGCATGATATTGATCTTGATTCATCATTGAGTGGAAACCCAATATAGCTGCCAAATCGATAATTTCTTCTTGTGAAGCATCCTTCAATGCACTCTCATATTCATCACCCAAATCGATGGCAATTTTTTCTTCCGCTTCAACTTCACGTTGATCACGTGGTGGTGGTACCCATTTCTTACCACGTACAGTACCCTTTACATAGGGTTCAAATTCGGGTTGATCAGGAGTTTCAATAGCTTGTTTATTGATGTGTTCAATGAGCTTTTTGCGATTCAAGGGACCGGTGGGATCCTTGGTGCATTCATAGCTGCAACGTTGATCGGGGGGCAAGAAGTTGTCCTGAAAAGAAAAACAGAGGGTAAAATTAGTTTTATTTCCTCAGAAACCAAATTAAAGAAAGGAGAAGGCCTAGAAGACCTGTATATGGTTTTAAAGGTATGGAGAGCCTATGGATGGTAATATCTTCCTATGTATGTCGTATTTAAATAGGGTCTAACAAAATATTTGTTCAAGAAAAACTTATATCTTAAAGGCCTACTTATTCTGTGTATAGAATAGGTAGAAGACCTATGCACGGCTTTTTATAATTAGAAACCCTATAGAAGATTTCTACATATAGATCAATATACGATATTCTGTGTTTAGAAGACATATAGAGATTTTTTTCGGCATACGAACTATCTTTCAAGGGTATTTGATCTAAGTACAATATTTTATAAATCGTAACATCTTCGACAGAGAATATAGATTTTAGTTTTTGGTCTTGTGATTTTTTCTAAATAAATTTTGCATATTTTTTAAAATGAGGTCAGGGTTCGTTGGGGGTGAATAAAATTGTCCACCTAAATTCCAATTTGAGACCATATAAAGGCTTTTATTGCATAGTTCACACATAGGCCATTTTGCCAGAGAGTTTGGTGGGTGAAAAACATATTTTCAGAAAAAATATAATTTGAGATCTTGTGGGGGTACTACACCATTATTTCTATTTTTGAGTTTGATTCAGGGTGCTTGGTAGGTAAAGGCTATATTTTCAGTAAAAACTAAATTTTGGACCTCGTGCGGGCTATAAACGCCATATAACTGCACCGCACAATTCATGAGGTTTTATCGGAACCAAAGTGCCTGTAATTTGTCAGTCAGGGACTTGGTAGGTAAAATATTTTTGCAATAAAATTTAAATTTGGGGCTTCTAGAGTAGGACCCTCCATGCAACCCTCCGCATGTTTCCTATCAAAGTGACTGTAATTTGCCTGTCAGGGTTTTTGGCAAGTAAAAATATCTTTTGAGGAAAATTCAATATGGGACATTTTGTGGTATGCTACGGCGGTAACGCATCGTTTATGTACCCTTCAGATTTAGATACAGCTCCCATATGTAGTTTCATTTTATTTTCGAGATATTTGGCATAGAGTATTAGGTCTAGAATGATGTGGGTTAAGTTTCATGAAAATCAGTTCAGATTTAGATATAGCTCCTATCTATATATATATATATTCTTCCGATTTTATGTAAATTGTGCACTAAAGACTCTAAGTTTGTACGATTTAGCCGCAGAACTGTAAAATCTTCCAAATACCTTCGACCTTCTGGGTTCATGGTCATTAGTAAGACTATTTGCAAGAAAATGTCAGTATAGGTCCATGTTTTTAAGGATCCCGCGCAATTTAAAGTAATTACAGAGTTCAATTTGTGAAATACATTTTTGGATATAAAATAGTGTACCAAGGCCAGAACATTTTTTTAATTTGCACGAATATTTTGAACTAGTGTACATATAAAGGACTATAATGATGTGTGTTTTGTTGCATGAAAAAGGTCTTTAATAGCTCTCATATAAATTTGTATATGATCCTAAGGGTCATTTTAATTTTCCATACAATAAAAAACCACTTAATGGAACAGATGCCCATTCGAGGTTCATAGATGTACCTAGGCGAACTTTCCAAGCGATTAGGCTATGAGGAGACATTTCTAGTTTATGCAGAATAACAAAAGACCCCTCGTTAGAATAGATGTCCATTTGAGGTTCATAGATGGTCCAAGGCTATGAGGACGCATTTCTGGTTTTTGCAGAATAAAAGAACAGTTGGCAGAATAGACGTCGCCTAAAAAGTACCTACCCCACTTTTGGTATGCTTAAGGGGGCTTAGTCGAATTTATATGCTAAGTGTATGCAATTTTGTATACGTTTTTTTTTAATTAAGTATTTTTAATATTTTATTTTACTTACATCAGGATCAACTTCCTTGGCCAAAATATTAATTTCTTCGGGCGACAATTGAGCCAATAATGTTTCAACATCGACATCATCATATTCGCTCAAATCCTTGCCGTACAATTTAGCTGGGGCAGTTAAACTGCTGGTTTTTGTTGTCGATGAGGTCTGGAAAGAAACAAACAAAAACAACAAATTAGATATTTTATATAAAAAAATATATTCACTATATATAAAAATTAAAATCAAATTAAAAATAAAAAAAGGAAATAACAAACTTTTCTCAGGGGCAATGTCTGTGGCGGTGGTTGGGGAGCTCTTCTTTTCACTTTAGGTACATGTTTCAATTTGATACGTTGAAATTCGGGTAAATCACTTGAAATTGAAGATCTTTTGGAATCTTCGGAAGAGGATATGGATGGTTCCGATGACGCGTTTTCCATTTCCTGTGTTTTGGTTTTCGAGATTTTTTTGTTCAAAATGTATTTTTTCCTTTTCCGTAATTTTTTGTTTTGCTTTTAACAATGGCACGTTGTATTTGAAACTAAATCAAGCTCAAGCTTAAAGGTCAATAGTGAACCCTCGCATAACTGTAACGTCGACTTATTCATAACCCAAGAAAAGTCTATAACAAAAAAAAACACAACAATAACAGGGAAAACAAAAATTAAAAACAATAATCGATATCAATAAAAAATTTAAACAAAATCCAATTATACGTAGGAAAAAAACAATAACAACAAAACACAAAGCCAACATTTTCAAAATAAATAATTCCTTGGCATTATGTTGCAACCTCTGTCTGGGTTGGCTTACCATGATGGCTGAGAACACTATAGACAACAAATAAAATTCACAATTCCAAGGAAAATCTACACCAAAAAATTAAAAACAGACACACACACACAAAAATTGACTTTTTTGGATCTTTTATTTGATGATGGCAAACACTACGAAATTGTGGTGGTGAGTCGTCGCCGTCGTCGTTCCTTCTAAAGCTTTACAAATGCAACTGATCATCGAAGTCATACTCGAACCCTGCTGAAGTCTACCAAACGAAGCTTAAAAACTGTTAAAACCAAAAAAAGAAATCAAAACAAAAAACTGAAAAAAAAGGTTAAAAAGACAAGCCCATATGGTGGACGGACATAAACGACAACTGTTTCTTGGCCCGCAAACGATGACGATGTTATTGTGGGCCTAAACCTTAACAGCAACAACAACTACAACAAAAACTGCATAAAAAACACGACACGAAAAGAAACAAAACAAAGAACCATAAACTGAAAACAAAAACAACAGTAACAACAACGTTAGCCAGCCCACAACCAAAGGGTACAGAGATTTCTTCTTGTTGGCTTTTTTATCTACGTCTGTCTGTCGTCATTTAAACTAATGTCAGTTGGTCAAACCCCAACAATATAAACTTTAAGTTGGTTGTTCCATCTGTTTTTTTTTCAGCTTGTTGTACAATATTTATTACGCTTGGTTGGTCTGCGCGGTTAGCTTGCTTTCAGCATTTTAAGCTGGCTTCCCCGCTACCAATATTTGTCCAGTTCAATCTTTGTTTTTTTTTGTTATTTTCTTGTTAACGGAAATCAAAGACAGTGGCCAACAACATGAAACGTCTTTAGACCCATTTAATAGTCAGAGCAGCACCTATAACCATAAGTGAGCCGCCGGGTAGCTCTAATGACGTTAGGTCATTGCACACCGAGTGCGCAGATGTTAAAATCAAAACAAAAACCGAATAAATTACTAGAAGAAAAAACACAAAACGCGGGAGAATGGAAAACACAAGAATCATAAATATTGTTTATATTATAAATAATAATAACGATGTGCTAGAATTGAAATAAATTGTGGGTGAAAAATGATCAGTGCGCGAGGAGTTATACCTCCAGCATACACAAATGGAAAGTGGCAAAATAGGGAAAAAACGAAGTTCCCCCTTTTTGAAACTTATTTGTATAAAATATTGAAAATAAAGAGCATATTTTTGTGTCTATTCCTAAAACTTGTTTTAGACTCAACAGTTACAGTAACTAATGGCTATGTAAATATGTTAAATTCATAGCTACCCCCTCCTGCATATAGGGCCATAGGTCATGTTGGTTCTTTGTGTTGCTTTGTTGCACATTATAGTCATGTTTTCTCATCGAAATATATGAAAATTTAAAGCGTTGTTTAGAAGACAGTTATTGCCTACATTGTCACGCCTCAAAAACGTGACTCATTTAAATAAATCGATAACAATAGTAGTGTTTTATTTCGAGAAATCAAATATAAAATTTTGTAAATAAGTAATCAGGATGACAATTTTTGTTTAAATTTATCAGTTTTAGATTAACGCACAATGAACCAAAAATATTTTTAAATTCACAAAATTCAAACATTATATATATATATATAGAAAATTGTTTTAAATTTTATAAATAATATTTTTAAAATAGTTCATACTAGTCCTAGAAAAACGAACTAGATTCGACACTAAGATAAAAAAATCTATAAAGGACATAATGTTTTCTAATTATTCAATACTGTTTCTAATTATGGCTTTATGTTGCTCCAAGAGTTTGTGATGCTGTGAAATATTGGTCCTGGGCATACATTTTAGTCGATTGCAGCGAAATTTTATCGTTCGCGAATTTTTCGTACAATGCGAATATTCGCGAGAGATAGAAAACACTTGTTCATTCATTGTAATTTTATCATTCGCGATTCCGTGAGCATTCGTGAAAAAAATCGTATTTTAATCCTTCGCCGAACCCTGTGTGGGAGTTTTACTGAAATAGTTACAGGTGCCTACATATTCTGATATAGTTTACCATTACCACACTAGAGGGCGGAAATGTAGCGAAGATGACAAGTTAATTTTTTCATGAGGTCCCGGTTATGGATGCCTCTAATTTTCGATGACGATCAGATGATATTTCGGGGATGAAATCGGTCGAAAAGATTTTTGTCTGATCATCTGAAATTGTCAATGGAAAAGCGATCTTCTATATTGAGCGAATCAAATGAATCAAGACTTTTTTGTGTAAAATAACCAGATTTGAATCTTATGAAGTATATTTTTCTTCCGGGAAAACATGTTTTGGGAAAGATACCGCAGAGTAACTGTTGTCATCTAATCGGCCAAGAGAGAACAAATATGGGAAAATGTTAGCCAGGTTGGGAATATAGATCGGCAGAAACTTTTGAAATAGTTCATACATTACTCCTATTCCTTATGTCCAAGAAAAGCGAACTAGATTCGACACTAAGATCGAAGATCTATGAATCCAATTATTCAATACTAGTTGTTTCTAATTTTTAAAATAGATTTTTATGCAGATTAGTACAGACGGACAGGTCCGATCATATTATACCCTACATGATTTAACTTTAACGTTCGACGGAGGAAATAGATACAAGATGAGATACCTATACAGGCAAAGTGATATCATTTGTTTGGAGAATTCCTATGTTCAACGATTATTTCAACACACAGTGATCCAGAATCGTTTCTGTAACTGTTGAACAGATAAATTTAAATAATGTGCATCAAAGTAGGTTCTTTTGGTTGCTAAGGATTTCAAGATCAGAGTTAGAGATATTGTTTTAATAATTTTAATTTTTTCAGGAGAGCCTATATTAAAGATGAAAAATTCGGACCACTTTAAGGTTTTGGAATTTAAAAAATATCCAAAGTTATTAATGAAGTTAGGCCCCTCATTATACTTATAAAACCTGAAATCGGGCATTTTTGCAAGTAAGTATGTTCCCTTGAAGAAAACGAAATTATAGATACTTAGGTTTGAATATGATCAAAAGCGATTTTTCAAATCCTCGAAACAATTTTGAAACGCGCAAAATCCAAGATAGGTTTTTTCAAAATTCTGTACACGGCGACCTGGACGAGCGTCCTCTCTTCTCGGCTTTACTTTTAGCTCAAAGCCTAATACAGTTTCTTTGATCAAGAAACGATGAAATGAGGTTTTATTAGATATGTTTGAGTTTTTACTGATAACTGGACTTTTGTGGAAAATAACTCTATAAATACCAGCCTTCACAAAACCAAATTATGAATTTTAATCTCAAAGAATATAATTTTATATAGACAACATTTAGTTCATAGTCTGAGAGGTGGGAACTTCCTTTTTGGGGCCCGTGCCAAGAAATATATATTAAGAACACAGAAGAGCAAATTTGCTATAACTCACGATTTTAAGATATGAACTAATGCATTTTTAAATACTCCAAATGTCTTGAGTAATATTTTAATTAGAGAGAGAGTTATACTCTTGAAGAATATTTTAATTCGTTTTTCAGAAATAATTTTCATTTTCTATAGAACATCCACCACAATTACTTTTTCTATGGCATATAAAGAAAACAAAACTCATTCATATATTCTTTTACGTCATTGCAAGTTCAAGGGTGTATACTTTCCAAAATCAAGTTTTTCTACACTATGAAACAAAACGAGATTTTCCCTCAAAAACGAAATTATGGCAGTAGAAAGCCATGGTGATAAACATTAAAACATACTGATAAAACTAGACATACTTTTATGTGTTTCTTGTGGTGGTCAATGAAAATTCACCTTGCTGCCAGCCAAACAAATCATTAACTTTTGTTAATTTCTTTATTTCATTATTTGAATAACAGTTTCCCAAAGAGAGAAATTGTCACCTGTTTACAACCAGCAAGCAAGCAAATAAATTTCACTTCGAAAAATCTCTGTTTCCCGGTGAGGAATATTTTTCGTTTGATCCAATTAAATGTTCCACATTTAGCCAGTACAACCAGCTTATATCTTTAAAAGAAGAAGAGAAGAAATAACAAATATCCTTTATGACAGTCATATAGATATGTGGGTATAGACGACGACTTTTTGCATTTCTTCACTATCATTATTTGTTAAAATGTGGTTTCATTATCACCATCTATGCTGTACACACACGAGGACGACGCAAAATGGTCAAATGAATTCAAGCGCAACAGCCCACAAATCATTAAAATTTAGACCAAACCACAAACAAAATGTGTCTACTTTAAAAATATGCAGACATTGGAGATTTTTGGTTGGTCGACTCCTTACCGGCTGGCAGGCTGGTCAGTCGTCGTTCAACACTTTATAAAAAACCACTTGTTGTCATTTACATTGACATTTGTTACGATAAGCCAGACTTGGTGTGTGTGTTATTTGCAGACAATTAAAACACAAATAATGGTTTAAACGGGTTGCAGTCGCTTTGACAGCATTTCAGATGCAGAACCCATTTATAATCATCAAAAAACGGAAAAAAAACATTCATGCCATCATGGCCAGTTATTGCCGTCACCTTTTCTTAAGTGGTTAAATTGAAATGGTTTGGTTATGCACTTGACTATGATTCTAGTTTGCCTGCCTACCTACATGTAAATGTAGATTTCTGTGCTAGGAAATAAAAGTAGA